CTTGCTGGCCTAAAATAGAAAGCTGGCACTGGACATGCAGCTTTTTCCCCAGACAATATTTCTACTTGGATACCAAATTCCAAAACTTTAAAGAATTCAGACAGCAGTCACAAAAGTTTTGAACGCTTCAACTCTCTATCACATCCAAATACAGCTCAGGTATTGCAGGGAATCATCTGACGTTCCCCAATTCAGGGATAAATGGTGCCAACATAAGCCAGAAACACAAACCTCCTTGCCTGAGCCAGCTGCTAGACTCAGGTCCCTGGAACACAAATGTGGCACAGGGAAACTCCATTTCTTCTATGTATTCTTTGTTCACTTCCTTTTGCATGAGTAATATTAGGGTGACAATACCTCCTCCAGCTCTACTACCGGTAATTTACCCTGTGAAGGTGGTTTGCTACTGAGAACCTCAATCCTACCTAATGCCACTCTGCTCTGTCCCTGCAGGGTCCAGCTCATAGGTTTCATTGCTAGGATGCATTACACTGACCTCCTTCATGGCAGAGGCTGCCAATTACACCAGGGAATTTGCATAGATACAAAAACACAAGGATCTGTTCAAGTGTATAGTGTAATATGTGCTAAAGTGTACAGTATAAATATGTGCTAAAATATTCCGGAAAGACAGACAGCTTGGTTTAAAAACAGAAGATTTATCGTAGTCTCCATTAAAAGCAGAGGTGGCACAGTACAGAAGAGAAGCTGCTGTTCTTCACAGCATCATTTAGAAGCCTGAGGGCCGCAAAAGTTAAGACTGCAAATATTTTACTACCTAAAGTGAAAACAGTACATCTTTTCAGATGTTCTGAGCATTTTAAATTGTGGCTTAGGGATGTATCTATCCTCCCACCCAGCATACAGGTTAACTTAACCTCCCCAGAAAAGCATCATCATATTGGAGCTTCAGGGGACTGGTACCAAAGTCCCTTCGTTTTGTCACTTCTACCCTTACTCTGAAAAGGTCAGCATTATTCATCTACCAACTTGCTTTGGCCTTCACAAATTAAATGCAAGGTACTGATTTTGTCCTTTGTCTTTCTTTTTTTCCCCTTTGAAAATGGAATTTATCAGTGTCTTTCATATCAGTCTACAACATTTCCCATATTACATTACAAAGATTTGCAGTTAAAGGGGAAAATGCTTTGCTTCTGACAAAGAAGAAAAGGAACAAATATGTCTCTTGCCCAAAAATCCCAAAAATCCTGCTTATATAAACAACGTCCCATTTCCAAAGCACAGAGATTTCTTAAGTTCAGCAAACAGACTGTCTGTGCTGCATTTACACAGAGCCACGTTCATTCATCACTTTCAAGTCTAATTACCAAGCCATTTCCCTCTTGGCAACCTCTAATGGCCAGAAGAATTAGGTTTTACATGGTCAGGATACCAAGGGATAACAGATACCCATAACTCTTTGCAGCTGTGCAATTTGTAAAGCCTCTCAAGCTTTGTCCAGGCAAGGGATTACTGCAAGGCAAACTTTCCTCCTCACGCACTGCTGTATCTGGACCAGTCCTATGGGTCTCGCTTCAGTGCTGTCTGTCCTACAAAATGTCAGAATACCTTTCAAAAGTGAGCAGAAAGAAAAAAAAAAAGTCATAACCTGCTCATAGAAGCAAATGCTAATTAGAACCACAGAGCAGTGGAAAAGGCTCCATGCATCACGTAGTTCACCTCTCCCAATGCACAAATGCTCCTTGCTCCACGTTAATCCCTGAAATGTCAGTTTTATTTTAAAGATATCAAGTGGTATGTTGCTGGAGCTTCTGCCATACGACTAACTCACAGTGAAGGAGAATTCTCTACCAAAAAGCTATCTGATTTGCAGTTTTTCCTATCTCAGTAATTCTTCCTACTCAAAATTCATCGCAACACCTCCTTCTAACATCTTTTCTTACACAGATTTATCATCTATTCTTTAGTATCAGTTATAGTAGATGCCTCCCTTTTTCTTTATAGTCACTCCGTTCAGCTCCTAATTTTTTATTTCAATGCTCTCTAAACTTCCTCTAACATCTCAACATAAACCAAGCAGAGAGGGAAAGATCTTCCAAGAGTGTTAGAAGTGCAACGTAACAGAACAAAATACAGACATGAATATAGCTCAAATTATCTTTATCTGTCTTCACTGTCACCTTGGAAACACAAGTCCATTCAGAATCACCCTCTCATCTTCTTGCATGAAGGATCTCCGGACTCCTCCATCAAGCAACTGCTCCTTACACTGAACTAATTTTCTTCAGAGGTGCAGGATTATATTTTCGTAAATTCTCTTCGAGGGTGATATGTATCTAGTCCACTTTTTTAATTCTTTGATTTATACATATTAGTTTGTTGCCTACATGCAAAATCGGGAGGGAGGTGTGGACGGACAAAAAGAAGAACCCAGGAGCTTATTTCATATACATAAAACATATGAAACTTCTAAGCAAGCTGGATAAAAAATAATCTTTTCAGAAATAATACATTTTGGCACTGAACAATGTCAATTAATATAATTTTTGCTGACTTCAAAGTATTATTTCTTGTAACTGATAAACACACATAAATACATTTTGTAAAACAAAACTGCTACATGAGACAGTATTGCATGTATTATAATTATGGAGTTATGGTTTGGGAACGTGTAATATATAAAACTCTGTGGCATATCTGCACGCAGCTACAGTGTTTGCCATGGAGCAGAGGCTTGTGCAGTGACAGGGACTCCACTACATGACGCAAAGGATATATATTGATTGGTGCAAAAAAGAAAATTCCTTCACTTTCTTGATCTACCTGTATTACAATTAATTACAATGTCTATTAGTTTCTATGTGCCTGCTGATGAGAAGGGATTGTTTAGTGATCTCTACAAAAGGCTGGGAGCAAAACGTTTGCATTTTAAACCCACGAGCTTTAGTGAAATCTAAACAAGTATTAATGGGTTAATGAATATTTGGCAAAGTGCTTTGAAGAGCAAAAGCATTAAGCAATTACTCAATGTTATTTCACATCTGTATTTCAGATCTGAACTATGCATAAAACTACTCTCATAACTTAATAGTCTAGGCTTCTTGGTATCTCTGGACTCGTCCTGTTAGGATCAGGAGAGGTTACCTAGCCGGGAGATTTGGGATGCAGCACATTCTGCACAAGGCCCGCAGCATTCTAAAACAAGGATTTAAACCAAGCAGAAAAAAATTTACAAAGCTGTATTGCAGAGTGTTTTTCATTGCCAAGGCAGAGAAAACTAATTCAACCAACAGAGGGAATAGGGAGACAATATAAACAGGTGTTTCCTTGAAAACTTCAGTATGGTTAGTAATAGTACAGGAAATGGATCTCCAGAGGCCACAAATCGTTAGCATCTCTAATGCATTTGCAAATTCCTACTGTGCAAAGTCAGCCTGTAAAAAAAAGGCCATTTCTAATAAGTGCCTTGTCTGGTTTCCTACACCATTTAATTTCAGATGAATTTTATGAGAACTCTGCTACATATTTTACCTCCCATCTGGTTCAGATTTGACAATGAAATATTTGTGTGTCCCACCCTGTTCTTTTTAAAGCTCCAAAACCAGATGTCTCCAGCACAACATGACTGCAGCAGGTCATACCACATTCTTCAGCGAGCTGTGCCAGGCCTACTACCCCCCACAGACAGTTCCAGGTAAGGTAAAATTGGGTTGTTTACTCCCTAAAAGAATAAAGCAAACAAACAAACAAACTCAACACCTCTAGGGCACTGTGTGAAAAGGCCGATTAAAACATACTATGGCTTACTCTTCCAAAAGGTTTTCTCTTGATGAAGCAGTGTTTCTGAAAGCTAAAAGATAATTTAGAATTGCAGCAGGGGAGATATTGATTCCAGCATACGTTTTTTGCAACTTCTCTATTATGATAAGCAGGCAGGTGTTTCAGTGCGTAACACAGGGTCGCTAGCGTTTCTAGGAAGTTTACAAGTTTCACAGTTGCACACATTGCATATAAGAAGGATGCTGATGAATATGTCTTCTATCAGATTTTGCATTTTCAACAGAAAGTGTGTTCATTTCTTAGCAGGTTCACAGGGCAGCTCTATGCTGCACATGATGCCTCCTCCTATAACATAAACTATTTATCTGTGTTGAATGACACCTTTTATCCTGTCCTGCAGATACAAATGACCCTTTTGCAATACAATGGAATCTGTATGGATGCTGAGGTAACTTCTTTTCCAGAAAAATGATGAAGTTGTGATGCGCCTTTAAACTGGGCAAATACTTTCTACATGCACATATTTGATAGTTTTTCATGCAAAACAAAACAGAAAAAAAAGTACTTTCTCACAACAAGTAGTAGTATTTTATAAGAAGGTATCCCCCCCAGACAGACCGCGTACAGAGCCTGTCAAATTTTAAATGCTACAGTAGCAACTAAACTCTGCTATAATCCCCCTTCAGAGAAGAGCTAAACATCTCTGGGAATCATCACAAAGAAGGATATTAAAAGAAACATTGTTAGCTGCTTGCACAACAATCCCTTTTTAATGTCACACATGAAAGGACATAAGTGTTCCCAAATCTTTTCATGAAGTTTTTCCCAGTCTGGCAAAATGTTTCAATGTAAGTGCAAATTTAGGCATATGAGCAGTCTCCTTGGAAATTCATGTTATATAGCATATGATCATATTGTTTGCTTGATGGAGACACTATATTAGGCCAGTGCAACAACCCTGGGAAAAGAAAGGAGTTACTTACTGGAAATAAATGCAAGCTAAAACCACAGAAAAGAGCCAAAGGGCATGAGAACCAGCAGAATCATGCCTGCTAATGAGATGAGAAAGGAGGAACTCCACCAGCTTACCTGTTTATGCCAAGTTAAATACACTTGAGTAGAAGTCACAAATGCTATCCTTCTGCATGTGGAATGTATATATTAAATAATTCTAGAAAGGTAATAAACTAGTGATTGCACAATGTAAGAGTAATTTATCAGAAAATAACATCTGTGATTTTTGTAACAGGATTACTTACTTTCCCCTTTCAACTGCCAAGGCATCTATTTCATCAAAGAAAAGAATTGAAGGAGACACCGCTCTGGCTTTCCTAAAGATCTAGAAAAACAACAATGAAACACTTCATTTTAAAGGGATGGAAAATTTTTACAGAATGCTAACACTGCCTGTGCACCTCAAAAGCTACAGAGCATCACAGAACAGACATAAGCTTATTTAAACAAACATCTTAGAAGTTAGTCATGATACTGCATGACGCAGGCTTATAGTGAAAGCTGCTACTGGATCCCAAATTTGACATGGATCACTGGGCCGATGCAAGAGGGAGTTAAACAACACAAAATATCCCTTCTGCCTTTTTTTTTTTTTTAAAAAACTGAAACTGGAAGGAGGTTTTTTGGACAGTTTAAAGGTAACCTCCTAAGCAGAGAAGAATCTGAATGCCAAGAAAGCTTAACATATAACATTATGTATGGCTTGCCCTTTCTCACCTCTCTCACTGCTCGTTCAGACTCACCAACATATTTATTCATCAGCTCAGGTCCCTGCAAAATCAAAAAGAAAAATTGGTTTAAAAAGCACATTACTTCTGTGTACAAAATGACTGAGACAATCTGCCAGTGCTACGTTACCAATCCTCTCTTACAAGGAATTTTGATAATTTGTCACTTGCAAGTCTTATTTGTGCATTTTTAGACTTACCTTCTACCTGTACCAAGTTTTCCTCCATTTCTTATAGCACTGTGCATACACGTAACTATGCATGTAGGTAAGTCCTCTCCTCATAATACTTTCTTGAGAAACAGAATTAAGAACAAAAAAAAAAAAAGGAGACATTTTGGGCTTCTTAGAAGTTGTTGGCTTAACAACAGCAACAAGGGGGCTGCAAATTGGCCAAAAAGACTAATTACAGAAAAGCATTGTGCTCTCAACATGCATCCTGTCCAGCCAAGCACCAAAGCAGTGACTTAAACCAACATTTAACAGCGCTTCTGTGAACTTGACAGTTTGCAGGTCCAGAAAGAAGCAGCTGCCATAGCAGCACACCTGAAACCCATCCATGAGGTGCTCCATCCCCAGCAAGAAAGCTGTTCAGTGTCTTAGCTCATTCGCATTCCTTCTCCTCTCTGCTGAGACTGCCCAGCACGATTATTAGTGCCAGCTGCTGTGGTGCCTGTTTATACTCACAGCCCCATCCACTAGGAACAAACCAGAGACCCACAGGGTCAATGTTCGGGTCTTGAACAGTACTTAGAATTATAAAAAGTAAAACAATGGAGAATTCTCAGAGCATTTTCTGTTCTGCTATATCCTGTAGGATAGGCTGCTTAAATAATGCTTCCTAATGGGACTAAGATTCTCGTGGGATCAGTAATGATTCATTGACTTCAGCCTGGCTTGCATTAACATTGACCTGCAGCCACAACCAACAATGATTATCCACTGCCCTGAACAAAAAAAGCCAGCAGGTTTGATCTATTTTCCAGGGAACAGGTGTCCTCATAATTTCACTAGCAGAAACAACATCCTTCTTCACAGTCCAAAAACTGAACCACCTTTCCCTAAGTACCTTCAGGTAACTCTCAGCTCAGAGCAGTAGCGCAGCTTCAAACAGCAGGTATGCTAGAATTAAGAATGCATGGCAGGTGCACATTTATACACTGGCAGTGACAGAGCTTCTGTTACAGCCCCTCTTTCAATGGGACCATGTGGACTTTGTACCCAGATCTGTAGAATACAGATTCATTACTCTACAAACGCAGCACGCTGGTTTTGGCACTCTCCCCTCTCCGCACTTTTTTTCACCCTTGCAATAACAGGTAATGCACTGACTTTATCTTGACACTAGCACCATTGGAAACTACCTGCACATATGTATGGGGAAGAATGTATACTCTAAAAAGAAACGCACAAGTTATCTGATAGCAGCAAAGTATCCAGGCTATGCCACTATTTTTATTTATTTATTTTCAAAGAGTTGTCCATTACCCAAAGGACCACATGAGAAACAGCAGTTGTCAGACCTGGTGTACCACACAGGCAAAGGATTGCATAAGGACTGGAAGAACAGCGCCAGTGCCTTGCCCATAGGAAATGTAAATGATACAATTAGCACTGCTTCCTTTCATCAGCATCCACCCTTAAAGCAACTGCCACAGTAGCTAAAGTGTCAGCAGCAGGCTTTCAACAACTTCAGAATTTGAGTCTGTTGGATACTTGTGCGGAAACAGAATTATTCATCAACATAATTGATGAAGAACACAGGAAAGAAAGAGAGAAGGAAAAAACAAGGTAAGTGAGAGAAACATAAAGCCTTTTCCTACTGTTCACTGTGGACACCAAACATGAGGAGCGTGCAGGAGTTTGTGCAGAACAGGCTGGCAGCTCGAAGAGACAGCATCCAGCTGCTCCAGGCCCTTGCCATTCATCACACTCAGTGCAGATGAGGAATCCGGTAGCATGGGCCTAACACATCCTTAAGGAACGAGAGCACAGTCTTCTCTCTCTATCTAGCTTTCAGCTAAACTGAGCCGATACACTGAGAAACCTCTACAGATTCTACTCACAATTATAGATTTCCTTTACTAACTTTTTCTTGGAGCCTGTGGACCTTCTCTTTCATGCCCTTATTCTCATAAGTAATCTCCATTCACATCAGTTTTCTCCTGGAAGCCAACATCATATATATCAGTGCCAATAGTGTACTGCTCTAATATGACACAACATCAAATAGCCTGACATTTTCTTTGCTTTTGTCTGAGCAAAAAAATACTTAAAACCAAAACTACTCTCTTTGAGCTTTAAGGTACAATACAATTTCAGATGCTCAGAGTTTTATTTTTAATTAAGCATTAAAATATGATCAAGGCAACATCAAAGCAATGAATACTGTTTAAAATGTTTCCAAAGAGAGTTATTTTGAATGCATGGTTTTGCTGTAAGCTTTGATATGAAGTTCTTCTCTATTTTTCTCTTCATTAAGCAGCAACTCCAGGCAAAAAAACACTACGTATTAATGACCTGTGCCTCTTCATCGAGAATTTTCATGAGATTTGATTTGAAGGTCTCCTAGTTTACCATGCACGAGTGATACCAAAACTGCTGGTCAGAACCACGGTTGTTACTGCAAGCAGCTCAGAACTCTTATTGTACGCAGCAATAAAGATAAAGACTCCACAGTAAGCGAAAGCACACACAGAAGAGAAGGAATTGGTATACGTTTCATCTCATGCAAACACTTAAAACCACAACACAAACCCAAGAAATGTTCAAAGAAGCTGGATATAGAAACCGGATTGGTTTAGCTCTTGTCCCACCTGAGCTGAACCTCTGCCTTACGCTGTCTGTAAATGGGCTGTCCTTTAGCTGAGATTGATGGGAGTTCTTTCAAAAGATAGATCTGCATGACAAGCCGTCTACAGGCCACCCCAAAGTCACCAGCTGACAGCTGACACAGTTTCCAATTTTCACAAAGCTCACCTCCTCTTTTTAGGAAGTTTGCTTTGAAGTTGGAGGCCACTCAAGAAATACCAGGAGGGTTTGGTTGTTGAGGTTTTTTTAATTATTTTTCAATGCTTTTCTAATGCTTTAAAAAAAAATCAAATTACATGAGCCCGACTTAGTCAGCAAGTCAACATTTGTTGAAACACCATTTTTGGCCCAGGGGTGAGCATAATGATTCCTTTAAAAGCTGTTCACAGCTGGTGATATACTGACCAAGAGGTGCTAGTAACAAATGGTCCAGCATAATAATGTATAGTTCTGTTCTCTTCTGCAACAAGCCATCTTCCATACGAAGGGACGTGAAGAAATAAAACCTGTTCCTTCTGCTCATTTGCACAGTGACTCCAAAACCAGCAAAAGATTTGAAGCAGGGAATTTGCAGAAGTGGTTGTAGCTTAGCCATGCACATAAGCTCACCATTTGTGAGCTCCAATCCAGACTAATAGCACAAAACCTGCCAATTCAGACCCGCTGTATCTGCTGAGTTTTGTTTATTCAGCCTCAAAGAAGAGAGAGCTTCCAGGTACGCTCTGTTTAAAGACTATCCCATCCTCATTTACAAGATATATTCCCTTTGTATCATGAAACCTTCCACTTCTTTATGGTCTGGATGGTGTGTTGATTTTTAAATTTTCTTTTTAAATAAAAACAAGAAAAAAAGAAAATTCCTTACATTTAAAATATGATCAGAAAAGGCTCTTGAAAGAATAACTGCACAAAAGAGATAAAACCCCTGTATACAAGGCTGCAACACAAGATAAGCTTGTGTACACATGGTTATGACAGAAGTTCACAAAGTGTTTTTAAACTGGAAGAGGAACATCTGGTATCCCCAAAGTTAAAGAGTATCAGTAATTTTTCTAAGCAGTGCTTAAAGACACTTGCAGATTTTTTCCACCTTCAACTGATAGGAAATTTAGCTGGTGACTTCCCTCTATAAATAATTTTTTACTGTCTTGACAATCAGGTGAATTATGCACTTATGGTTGTTGAGCCAGATGGACACAGCTTCAGATTTCTCCATCATACAGCTCTGCCTACTCTCTTCAAAAATACTGCCATAACCTCACATGCAGGTTCTGGGCTCTAACACAGACACACTAAACTATGTTAGCCATAGAGTATGATTCATATTTGTTAAAAATCCAGTTAGAGAATTTATATCATATCCTACAGATTATTACTCTACGATATAGCATGCACGATTCCTTCTCTGCCAAGTTCAAAGCAGAAATGATCAAACAGGCATTAAAATATCAGTCATAATTAATATTTAATTTCAAATGAAGGATCTAGCAACTGAGCTCTGCACTGTGAATCTCAAAAAGATGAAAAGACAGGAGGTGCCAAAATTAGTCTTTAACTGTTCACAACGTGTACCTAGGGCAACATTCATTGCCCACACTCAGACATCTACATCGGAGTTAGACATTCACGTTAACTGATTTGGACAGACCTATGTCTACCTCGCAGATGCCATGCACCTCACTCTGACGTGCTAATTTCTCATCAGACTGCAGGAGGAGCGTAGACAGCCAGCTCAGAGAAACAAGGCTTGATCCCACCCCTACCGGTACATCTGTCACAGAGTTAAAACCAGCATTTGGGCTTCCTTTTTTTTTTTTTTTTCCTTTCCCCCTCCTCCATTCTTTCCAGTTCCACGACCATGCAGGTGAGATGATCTACTCTAACAAAATTAACTGATTTGGAAGAGACTCAGAAATTAGTTATATAGTCTTTCGATATTGTAATCTCTACGGCAAAATGCTATCCCATCCCTACCACAGTCAAAACAAAGCAACATACAACTCAGGCCGGCTGCAGGAAAGAGAGTTAACAAGATCAACAGTGAGACTTCCTTTATTTTAACAGTAAGGCTATTTCTAACGCAGAGGTTGTACATGTGTGATTTGGTAATTGGTTACGCTACATAGAACAATATTTGCTCAGAAAACAGAGTATATTTGCTTGTTAAGGATAAAGCCTATTTCTTTTCTTTCAATGTTGCTTAATGATTTAATCTGCATTACTCCCAGCTTCT